TAGAGAGCTCTATGAATGTGTTTGTGGAGGTAAATGAGGGCACAGATTGTGTTGTAAAGAGCTTTGAGGATCTTGATAAGATCAGAACAGTTCAGTCCATTTAACTTTTTAATGTGAGGCAGTTTATATGAAAGTGGGTCATGTGACCACAAAATGATGTAAAGGACGACAACAGAATGAATGATAAGAACAAAGTTAGCACCTCAGTCTGATTAAAATAACGTGTTGGGATGTTAAAGAAAGCAACATGAGAGGACTCAAATATATTTGTGACACTAAAGTTGATTTATCTAAGGAAAAGCATTTAACTGCCTTGGATGTCAAAAAATAATAATTAAATTAAAACCTTGCTCAATCAGTTTGGACTCAATGTTTGTGATGAGAATCAAAGGTACTGCCACACAAAATGTTTTAGTTCATTTTAAGTAAAACTCACTCATTTGTTTGATTTTGTGGACTCTAAACGCTTTTTAAAAATTTTTTTTCATTAAAAATATTTGACGACTTCATAAAACATTTTTCCAACAAACAAATCCACACAGACAGTTTCAAGATGGCCTGTCTTTTATGACGGTGGTTAAAAGTGATGAAATATTGATACAAAAGACAACTTTGTTTGTGTTAAAAAAATGATGACACAAACTGTTATACGTTGTTGCTTTAATGAATTGTGAGATCTGGTCAAACCAGATGATTTTCTTTATGTCCCAACGCATAAAACCGTACAATTAAAGGAACGCTTACTTCCATTTCACCATTACTTTGATCACTTGTTTGATCCTTCTCTACAACTCTTCCCAGTGAGACGTTGCTTTGCGTGTCTTTCAAACACAACACTAGTGCACGAAACTAAAAAACTTCCACGGTCAACAATTATGTCTTTATGATGCACAGTCAGGAGTAAAAGACAAGAGGATCAAGGTCACTGGGTGATTTGTTCCGTTTCCTTAATGCCATTTAATTTATATTCATTAAAAAGAATCCAGATCTTCTGATTAAATTTTCACCTCTTCATTAATAACCCAAGGTTTTATAAAACAAAAAAGCCTTTAGACACCAAGTCTGGCCTTCAAAGAAAAAAATAATAACTACTGAAGCAAGAAACTGAAGAGACGTTTAGCTTCTACAATCTGATGGTAATTTCCCTCTTGTTTATTAATATTTCAGAAAACGTAATCCTTCGTGTGTCTTTAAAATGTGGATGCAACGCAGATGTTGCATCGGGCCTAAAAGGTAAAAAGCAAAAACGTGTTCCGTCACGTCGTAGGGGTCAAAGTACTCTGCTCATGTTTGAAGTCTGTATAATATTAAGATCACAGGAAAACAGATCACAGACGACGGGGAGACCATGTCAACAAGGTCACAAGCCTGTACAACCTGTGGGCCAGTGGTGGATTCTCTAAGAAGGGGGCTGCACATTCTTCACCTTGGACATAGTAAAGGGAATCTTCCTGTCCTCTGTGTCGGGGGGCTTAGTAATCACATCGCCCACATCCTTAAATCCCCCTGACTTTGACCCGAGCTCGTCACTCCGCTCCGCTTTTCTCAACCTGTGGAACAGCCTCTCTTTCAGGCTGGTCCTGGGGAAGATCCAGACAACGATCCCCATCACCAGCAGCGCAGAGCCGAGGCAGGACAGGCCGACCCCGGCCGCAAAGCTGAGGTACAGCCCCCTGTTGAAGCTGACGGCCTGGGTGTCCACAAAGAACAGGTCTCCTTCTCCAAAAGACTCAATTTTGTGGGGAGTGGAGTACCTGACCGACAGAGACACGACGCCTGCAGTCAGAACCAAGAAGCCCAGAGCCAAGGACACCTGCAGCCAGGGAGAAGGACAAACAGCGTAAACATTTTTACACACCTGGTTGTTTTCATTTAGGCAAGCCAGGCTGCACGGAGCTCTACTTCTTATTACGAAAGGTCACATTGTTGTTTGTATTGCAGAAAGCGGGAAATAGCAAAGCAGGGGGCCTGGGTGGAATCCCCTCGGCTTTGCAAACACCACCACTGCCCAGTGGCTGTAGTTCATCATACAGAGACAGCTGAAAATGCACAGAGCAGTGCGCACAATTCATTACGCTGCTGAAGTTCACTGCTGGCAAGTGAAACAAACCCACAGGGAAGTCCACGGGTCACAGAGGTTTCACATCTTTGTCTGCAGACAACTTCAGGACACAACGATCCGTGTCTTATTTTATTACAGTATTGATTTTATAGCAAAACTGGTACTAAATAAAACCGATCAACTACTGCACAGATTTTTGCTGAACAATCAAACAACACTTGGCTTTACCTGCTACAAGTGGATAGTTGATTGAACCTGGTAAGATCAGCTATTTTAATTTGAATTAAACATTTATTTACAAGTCAAAACTCTTAAAAGACAACAAAAACTAGCTAAATACAGTGGGAAAAATCACCCTTGAAAACGGACAACAGTTGAGTGTCTCCAATTGCTGTTAGTTAATATATTTGTCCAACCATATAACCCGATTGTAAAGCATTTCAATAATTTTTAAGTCAAAAAGGCTCTGAGTAAAAGAAAAATGTTGCCTACTCTTGTTCATAAACTAGTAATGCACCAAAGAAATGGGGTCAGAGGTTCAAATGTTCTGCTCGGGTGCCATCGAACATGACAATGATTTGAGGAAAGCAGTAAATATCAGCACTCTTATTTATTTATGCTTTGACATTATTTTACAACCATTATTTTTACCACAACTAGCAGCAAAGATATTGAAGCAAACTGTGACAGATTTTTGCCCCTTGTTACATTTGAAACAGACATTTTCAGTGAATAACTTCCTGGCTTGCCACGTAAACGCTCCATAGTGAACAATAGCTGCTGCAATCTTGGAGAAATATTTAAGGGAGCACTGAGACCACTTAAAGTTCAAATACTGATTCAGACTCACACAAAAAATATAAAAAAAATATGCTTCAGCAATGCACTGAAGCAAAGAAGAATGAGGAAAAAAAAGCCATAGGACCACGCCAGACTGTCGGCTTCAGAGTTCAGACACTGCTGATATTTTCTTCTTTCAGCTGTTCCCTCTTCAGGGCCACCACAGCAAGTCATCATCCTGCATCTCACTCTGTCCTCTGCATCCTCTGTCCTCACTCCAACTATATCCATGTCCTCTCTAACTGCATGCATATATCTCCTCGTTGGTCTTGACATATCCAAACCATCTCAGTCTGGTCTCTCTAACTTTATCTCCCAGTTGTTCAACCTGTGCTGTACCTCTGATGACCTCATTCCTAATCTTATCCATTCTTGTCACTCCTAAGGAGAACCTCAACATCTTCATTTCTGCCACTTCCAGTTCTGTCTCTTGTCTTTTTGTCCATGTCTCTGTCTCCAGACCATAAAACATAACTGGTCTCACCACTGTCTTCTGAACTTTGACCTTTGCTGACACCCTTTTGTCGCAAATCACTCCTGAAACTTTTCTCCACCCACTCCATCCTGCCTGGACTCTCTTCTTCACCTCTTTACCACACTCCCCATTTTCCTGGACAGTGGACCCCAAGTACTTGAAGTCCTGCACCTTTGTGACCTCTGCTCCTTGTAGCCTCACTGTTCCACTGGCCTCCCTCTTATTCACACATGTACTCTGTCTTACTACGGCTGACTTTCATTCTTCTTCTTTCAAGTGCATATCTCCACCTCTCCAAGTTCTCTTCCACCTGTTCCCTGTTCTCACCACAGATCACAATGTCATCTGTAAACATCATGTCCACGGGGATTCCTGCCTGACTTCATCTGTTAGTCGGTCTATCACCAGAGCAAACAAGAAGGGGCTCAGAGCAGATCCTTGCTGCACTCCCACCTCCACCTTGAAGCTATCTGTCAGACACTGCTGATGTATTTCAAGAAATTTAAACTCACCATGTAGCTATGCTCTGATGATTCTTCAGTATCTTCACTAATAGTTGTGGTCAAAGCATGGCATAAAATAATAATGAAGAAATCAAGGGGACTAAGATATCTTTATTTTTTCACAACATGTCATTTTCTTCAGGAGGTAAGCTAAATCTTGATGGACATTTGACCTGTCTTGTTGGAGCAATTTGAAACGTTTGACAAAAGAACATCTTGTCTCACTGTCCGTGCATGTGGAGTTGAATAACTTCACCTTCCAGACTGCTGAGTTCCACCACAGGGCTGACCTCTGGCTCTGAACGGACCCTCGATCCTCCGGGTCTCTGTCCCGCATGGAGGATGAGCATTCCTCATAGAAGTGATGCAGATAGGAACGAACTCCAAACTGAAGACAGCTGGAGCCCCCCTAGAAGGACGTTGTGGTTAAAGTGACCAAATTACAGAAGAAAAACAAAAAGTCCTGTCTTCAGTCACAATAACAGCAGGTACAGTTGCTACAATACAGACTGCTCTAAAACAGAGACTGTCATCACGCAGAGTATCACACTGGCTGTTGTGATTACATCCCAAACATTTCTTGGTCTTTTTCTTTCAGAACATTTTCTTTAAAAGTTGTTTGCCTGGAATTTAATTAACAGTTTAAATAAAATATAAATCAAATTAAAAACATTTGGTTGGTCAATTATTAACAGATACTACATAACATGTATATTGTACTTCAAACTGCACGCTGAATCAATTATTAGGGGTGGCTGTGGCTGAGTGGTTAGAGCAGACGCCCTTCAATGCGAGAGTTGGGGGTTCGAATCCACCAGCAGTCACATGCCGAAGTGTCCCTGGGCAAGACACTGAACCCCTCATAGCCTCTGATGTGTGTCCCATCAGTGTATGAATGTGATCTAAAGCTCTGATTAGTCTCTTTAGAATGATTTGTTCAATTAGCTTTGTAGAGCTCTAGTAGAGTGCTGTATGAATGGGTAAATGAGGACACAGATTGTAGTGTAAAGTACTTTAAGTATCTTGATAAGATAGAAAGGTGCTATATAAGTACAGTCCATTTACCATTTACAATTTACCTTAAAATGTGTTCTTTAAAAGTTGGAGACCAAGTAGGACTTCAACCCAAAACATAAATAAAGCTGCACTTAGAATAGTTGGTTTATTCATAATGTTTGTGTTAAAGACTGGACCCAAAAAGAGTGCCTTAGCTTCCTGCGTGTTCATTTGATAGTTAAGTAACAGATTTAATGGCATGTACACATTGACATTATTGAAATACTTGGCTTATGTTTGTTCCAGAAGATAATTGTATGTACATTTGGGTTAACCTGAGACTCACCTCGCTGCCTGAAGAGTCTCCTCCTGAGCCTGAAGCACAAACCTCAGAACAAAGAGCCATAGCACACCTCTTGCACCTACAGTAGAAATATAAATACACACTGTAAGCAGCTGTGTGTTGATGTCAGTCAGGTTGTAGAAACTCCATGTGCCTGGATAGAACGTGAACCAAGAACTGAAACTTGAAGCAGCCTTCTGTGCCATAACTGTGCACAGATTAACATGAACACACCAGATTTTTGGCTGTTAACACAACCATTATCCATTGGCTAAAAATGTATTTCCTACAATCAAATCCTCTCTCTCAGCAGAGACCCAACACAAACGTTGACCCATGTCGTCATTCATCCCCGGCTGCCGCCTGAGAACGCCTGACAGCTACCGAGGTGGCTCTCACACCGCCCACGCATGAGTCACACACACGCAAAAGCATGGACGCTGTTTTCATGCCCGTCAGGTTGAAGTCTAAAAGAGAACTTTTGGATGTTTAATTTGTTGCCTTCATACAGTTCTTATAAGCTGTGAACTCATCGAGACCTACAATGATGAAAACAAAAACGTGACTATCATAGAAAAGACAAAAGTGGCTGTAACATCAGTTTAACAGATACTGAACTAATATTTGGTAAAATAGAAGCTTGGAGTCTTTCACAGCTTACACTTCAAGGGTAAAAAAAAAAATCACATAAAATCTTGCAATATTTCCTTATAGTGCACAAAGCACTGTTTTCAAGGTTTGACCAAAGCAGCTATAACTTAGTCATTTGTCAACAACAAACAATCTTAGTTGAAAACACTGGCACAAAACAGGTTTAGTGATGTGCATTATTTTAAGAAATGCTAAGCCTTTAATATTTTATTAACTTTGCTGTGAACTTTCAAACATGAGCAAACATCCAAACCTGTCCATTGCTTTAGATTTTGTCTGCTTTGAAATAACCCTCTCTGCAGCTGGAAATGACAGGAAAACAAGAAAAAGTACAAATAGAAATCTGTTACAGAGTTTGAGGGTTTGTAAGTAAAAAAAAAATAAAAATAAAGCATGCACTTTTAAATAGATTGGGTTCCCAACACTGGTCCTTGAGGAACACCATCCTGCGTGTTTTAGTTGTTTAGTTGTTTAGCTTTAACACACCTGATTTGAATCAATGGGTGACATAATTAAATCACTGAATCAGGTGTGTTGGAGCAGGGAAACAACTAAAACATGCAGGATGGTGTTCCTCAAGGACCAGTGTTGGGAACCACTGGGTTAAACTGTTCCAATAATATGCTTTGATGTTAGTTTTTATCTCAAGAGTAAAATCTTTTGACAATATTCAAGTTTTTTTAAACAAATCTGTTTAGAAATTGATGGGATATGGTTCAAAATGATTCTATCAGTAATTTTGTTTTTGTAAATATTGACTCCTAGAGCTCTAACAAGCAAATATGAGCCATTTAAATATGTATAGATATGTCTCTAATATCACACTTATACAGCAGTTTGGTGACTTGATAAATTTCATAAACCAGCAGCATAAAAAATGGATGTTTTCCTGAATTACAACAACAATCCTGTCTGTTTATTTTCTTTTTTTTTGGTGAATAAAATACACACAGTTGAAGATTTAAAACCATTTTATTCAGGAGCTGTTATTCTTGGAAATGAGAGCTATAATTACCTTGAAATACTCCATTCTCTGCTCCCCACAAAAGTAAAGCTAATTTGTAAAGCAGCACGCCCACAATATAAAAACAAGCAACTGTTAAAATAAAAAAAAAATAAAAAAATAAAAAAAATCAGATTATCACTGAGTTTTTTAGCATTAGCACTTTTTCTTTATTTAAATAATTGATAATAGGTCTGAAGCACGCAAAATCTAAAACCTTTGCTTGCACACATCAGTTATGACCGATCGGTTGGGTTTGGTTTTCCAATAAGGCAGGTCAAGTAGCCAATATGTCAAATTACTAAAACTTCAACTCTGATTTTTTTAAGCAACAAAAAAAAAAAAAGAGAGAAAAATATGTTTGATCGCTTTTATTCTGCTATTTATATATTTTTGTTTAATTTACTTTGGAGATTTCCACTAATGTTAGAGAAGAGGATAATATTGATCTGTTACTGTTTATTTGGCTTAACCTTTCCTCTAGCTGGTGTCAGACTGATCCCACTAATCCCACTTTACAAAAACAAAGATACCAGAACAGCACCTCTACAATGAAGCATCCATCCATCCATCCATCCATCCATCCATCCATACATCCATACATCCATACATACATACATACATACATACATACATCCATACATACATCCATACATACATCCATACATACATCCATACATACATCCATACATCCATACATACATCCATGTCCAATCCAATTGACTTTTTATGGAGATAATGAACGTTTCAGTGCCTCTGGTAAACCCATAAAACATTTATTCATAAGGTTTGTAATATCTGTTAATGGTCCAGCCATCATCTGATCAGACCAACCAGTAAGGCTCTGCAGGGAGCTCTCCATGGTGCTCACATTCATCTCCCCTGCTGGCTTCCAGTTTGGATGTAAAACTCGCATAAACAAAGTCCGCCATTTTTGTATCACTGACCCAATTAAAATGCAAAATACAACCGAGCTATTTAATTAGCCCGAGTTAAAGCAGGTTGTAAATTTGCTAACACACTAACGACGAGTAAAAATGTTGTTGTTTATCTGTCTGACCAGACAGAAACAAACATTCAGTCAGTGTGTGATTTGCTCCGCGGTGACACAAAGTGACCGCTGCTGGACACTGCGGAGCATTCACTCTTTCTCTGAGTGCCATTTCTGCCTTTTCTTGTCATCTCTTTCCTCTAACAGGCTGTAGAAGCAGTCAGGACTCGGTCTCTTACCCCTCCTGGCTGGAACGCTCGCTTATCTTACTGGGGATCCATGTCTCCTCCGACAGGTCGATCTCAGCCGCTGCCGCTGATCTGCTGTGGAAGATACTGAGCATGCGCGTTAGGCAACAGCTGGGAGGCGGAAACAAAAATAAGGAAGTCCATAAATGGTCTTTAATCACATTCTGTTTGTTAAACGATATTAAATAAGAAATGTATGTGCATCGTTTCAATTCAATTTCCAATTCAGTTAATTTTTATAGCGCCAAGTCACAACAGAAGTCATCTCAGGGCACTAAACAGAAATATTCGTATATAAAAATAAGTTAACAGAAACATTTATATTTAAAAAAATAATAATTTAACATTATTTATCTGAGGAGCAGACTGCTTTGAGTTTAACTTCATCGCTGAACTCTCATCTTGAGCATGAAGGCGACAGTGGGAAGGAAAAACTCCCTCATGAGGAAGAAACCTTTTGCAGAACCAGGTTCAGGACAAGCGGCCGTCTGCTTCAACTGGCTGGGTTTGGTAGGAACAAATACACAATGGCAGGTTAAGAATCACATGTTAAGATTGAAATAATATCAAATGAAAACTAGTACATTTTATCAAATCATTTAAGGAAATGAGGTCAATTTGTCCTCTAGTAGTCTAAGCTTAAGAGAGCATGACAAACCAACCCTGACAATAGGATTTATCAAAAAGGAAAGTCTTAAGCCCAGTCTTAAAACTGGACAATGTGTCAGTCTTACAGACAGAAACTGGAAGTTGGTTCCACAAGAGAGGAGCCTGATAACTGAAAGAGCTTCCTCCCAGTCTGCTTTTGGAAACTCAAGGGGCCGTGAGTAAGCCTACAGTCTGAGAGCGAAGTGCTAGGTGTCAGCTAGGTCTAGGTGACATCGCAGATCCGGTTCTCCTGTCCCGGTCTCTCTCCCAAAGGCGCAGGTCGATGCGTGTTGCCACGTCTTCCAGGTCCTTGAGGGACTCCGGGTAGTTCTGAGTAACAAGCTTGTCTTTAATATTGTCAGTGAGGCCCTGAGAAAAAGCATCAGTTAAGGCTTCTTCGTTCCAGCGACTCTTGGCCGCTATTACATGGAACTCGATTATGTATTCGGTGACCCTTTGGTTTCCTTGTTTAACAGAAAATAGTTTGCGTGCAGACTCCTTCTCTGGTAACAGTGGATCAAAAACTCTGCATAATTCCTTAGCAAACTCAGAAAAACTGTAGCAGCGTCTGGCGTTCCTCTGCCATTCTGAAGTGCCCCATGATTTTGCTTTACCTGCCAGGAAAACATGGAACAATAAGATCTCGAATATAAGATGGAGCTTTGTTGTTGAGAACTTTGTAGGTTAGAAGTAAGATTTTTAATTCAATTCTGGACCTGACAGGGAGCCAGTGGAGAGAAACTAAAACTGGAGAGATTTGATCTCTTCTACTAGCTCCAGTTAAGACTCTGGCAGCAGCATTTTGGATCAATTGAAGACTTTTAAAAGACATATTCTTGAGATGTGTCGCTTACTTTACTTTTCTTTACAAAAATGGTCAAATGCTTTAGTTTAAAATGTTGATATGTTTATCGTGTTATGCAATGTTCTAAAGTTTTAGAGAATTGTGGCTGTGTTTTGGAGAGTCATGGTGTCAGTGGTGTTATTGATCATCACAGAACTCTATGCTGTGGCCCCTGATCTGAGAGAGTGTCTTCAACTGAACAACGTCCAAGATTTCTGTCCAGAAGAGTCCAGTCGTGCTGGTCAGAACTCTCAAGCTTGCAGGCTGCTGGAAGAGGACCCAAGCTTGAAATAAAATGGATGGATCCATGTGGAACAAAAGGTTGAGCTAATTTTATTATTTTTTCATACATATACTACAGAACCACCATCTACTTGTACCATTTCTAATCATGTTAATTTCTCAGCTCTTGTTTCAGTACCCCGTTTCTAACCAGAATGTCCTAGTTTGTCTGCCAGACCTTGGTATTCTAGCTGACAACAAAAACAGAACAGTATCATGTCCAAGGCTACGTTCACGCCACTGTTTTTAATGCTCAAATCAGACTTTTTTGCTCAAATCCATCTGCTTGTGTGGTTAATGTCAGGAGATTTTGGCCAAGGTTTATGGATGTTTCAAACTACCATGGCTGAGAATGTTAACTGCACATGAATCATATGTTTGAGTTAGCAGAGAGTTGTTTTCTCTCTCGGGGAGGGCTGAATGAGGAGCTGATTTGATCCTGCATGTACAATTGGGTGGCCAAGGTCATCAGTGTCTGCCTGTGAGCCAGGAGTTGATAAGCTTATAAAAACAATTCTCACACACTGCCCGTGGCAGATTCTCATGACAGTGCTCCATGCATGTAGAACATATGCACATCTGTGTATCCTGTTGTGAAAGTCTGCCCTTGTGAGTAAAACCGGTTAAAAATCTTCTCGTGTCCTTGAGTGTGGCTCCTTTAAGTAAGAAGAATAGAAGATATTTTTATTCATCAGTTAATCACATTACAATTATAATGCAACCTTCATCAGACTACAGTTTAAATTCTCATTGGCTCTAATGCAAACAACATGCGTGGAACAAGACGTGACTTCACATGCAGCATGCTGTGTTTACCCAAATTCATGTGAATGATGCATGTTAGCATGTGTGATTCTGACGTTGTTGTGCAATCATAACAGATTTAAATTGTTATCCAACATAATTATTTCTACCAGTGTTCATATTTAATCTGACCTCTTGCTGGCTTCATCGGCACATAATTGTATTTCTGGAGCAGGAGTGATGTTCTGAAAGTTAGAACAAACTCAAGTATTGATCCCATCATGTTAGTATCAAAATAGTCCAACACTAATGTTATTACCATATATTGCTGTAGATTCTCAGTCATCCAGGGCATGGGAAATTAAAAGGGAAAAAAGCAACTGGACTTCTGTAGCTGAAGAACGGTGGAGTTTCAAAATATCCTGATGCATGCTCAATAATCCAGGTAGAAAAATCTAAAAAAGTTAAATCTGGTCCTCTGGACATTCAAAAAAAACAAAAAACTAAGCAAATCAGTTTTGGTTGTCAGCAGCAAAACTGGTTGATCCACTCTGAGACGGTGCTATTTAAGAGACTGAGCTGAATACAGCACCTCAGACTGAGGAAGTCTCTCGGATGAGAGACGAAACGTTTCTACATTTTTTTGTTGATTTGCTTTGTTTTGTTTTTTTGAATGTCCAGAGGACCAGATTTAACTTTTTTAGGTGGAGTTTCAAGTTTTAGACTGCACAAGGTTGATATTGTTGGATTCCTAGGTTTCCAGCCACACTCACTTTCTTCACAGCTGCCACTGATCCTAATCAGCCACCACTCCACACCTGCACCTGACTGGAAAGACTGCTCTGCAGAGTATATTCAATTCAATTCAAAAATACTTTATTAATCCCAAAGGGAAATTATTGGTTGTTGTAACTTGTTATCCTCATTTCATTAAGAGATGTTATAGATGCTGATGGCTGTAGACAGGAAGGATCTCTTGTAAAGGTCCATCCCACAGTGGATCCTAAGAAACTGGCTGCAGATGCCATCTGATCTGTCCACCCAGACCTGAAAGGCCTCTCAGTTCCCCCCGGGCTGTAGGATCGCCCGAATGCCAGGCATAACTCCTCCCAGAGCGATGGCCACTCCTCCCAGCAGTCTGCCGAGCTCCTCATCACTGTGGACAGCCAACTGTAAGTGCCGAGGGACGATCCTGTCCTTCTACTGTCATGAGCCGTGTTTCCTGTTAGTTCCAGGATCTCAGTGGTCAGGCACTCGAGCACAGCTGGCAGGTAGATGAGAATGCGTCCACAGAACATCTTTTTCAACTCATTTGAGATTTGGGGCTGTAATTGAGATATTATTTGAGCTTTTGAGATGTTAATCAGCTGCTGTTGGTTGTAGAAAACTGCCTTGTTGCCATGGTTATGCATCATAACAAATGTCCAAAACTAAAAAAGTTTCAGAAAAATCCTTCCAGCTGCACAGCATCTGATACCAGAGGAAACAATCATCCAAAAAAATGTGATTTACATCCAGAAAAAGAGGAATTAAGGTTTCCAAAAGCAAAATCTCAGAATGAAAGTATCAGAGCTGCTCCAACATGCAGCCACCTTGAGCGGCGCAATTCTAGAACAATAAGCTCCTGCCAGATGTTCTTCCTACACTGGAACATTCCGATACATGATGGTAAATAATGGAGAGCCAGTAAGCTTGTTCCTAAACAGTTTTACTAAACTTTATCTTCTCTAGTGATTCCAAGTCCTGCTTCTCTGAGTCTTCCAAGATCTCCTCATTCCTTGCGACTTCACCCTGACATTGTCTTGTCCCTTCAACCAGCCAAACATCAATCTGGATCAGCAACTACAAAACAACAACCTGCTCCTCTCTCCAACAAAACTCAATTCTTCTGGATCATCTCCCCTCCTGTGGAAACCTAGGACCTCGTCTCTCCCTCCTCTCCAGCTCCTTCTGCAAACACAAACACAGTAAGAACAAGTCTAACTACAAACAAGATATATCATTCATTCCAACAAGAAGTACCACAAATACTCACCTTGTCCGTTTCCCCTTCCAGCCCTGAACATCATCATTGTTAACAAAGTCACTTACAACAATGTTCAGTCAGGTCATCTGGATGGTTTGTTTTGTTGCTGAGACGTTTCATATTTCATCCGAAGGACTTCTTCTCCAAAGGCCTTGGGAGAGTTGACGGGGCAGAGAGTGGGCACCGGATGCCATCTTATCACCAGCAAACTGTTTTTTCCACTCTGGGTGTGAGCTGTTTGTGGGATTCAGTTTGGTGTGGTGGGACGGAGGGCTTCATCAGCCCGAGGAGTCCCAAGTAAACTGTTTTCCCCACTAAGCAGTCCAATCCTTAAGTGGACCAACCAGTTTGCTGGTTTTGCTGGTGACTGACGAAGCCCTCCGGATAGAGGGCGAAACATCTTTCCAAAAAATAAAAATAAAAAAGAAACTGTCCAGATGACCTGACTGACCATTATTGTATTTTGTGCCTGGATGACTGAGCATGAACTTTGATGCTTTAAAAGAAAGTTACAATACTTTTGAAAC